TATCATTTTAAAGTTTCCCATTTAAATGTATCATAAGTAATTATTAAAATGAAAAATTAAAGGGAGAATGTATCATATTGGACAACAATTCAACTTATTATATATACTTGAAAGGGAAAAATATTACATAGTATGGACATAAAATCCCATTCAACTTATTATATATAAAATCCCAGGCATAATGTGTAAACTGGACATAGAGAAGGCATATGACCATGTTAACTGGGAGTATTTGCTTGGAATTCTACATAGTATGGGTTTTGGGAGGAAGTGGATAAGATGGATAAGGTTCTGCATTAGCACTGTCAAGTTCTCAATACTTATAAATGGTTCTCCTGAAGGTTTCTTTCCGGCAAGCAGAGGCTTGAGACAAGGTGATCCACTCTCACCTTTCTTATTTTTGCTAGTCATGGAAGGCCTGAACAGTATGATTAAAACAGCGCATAGGAATGATTGGATAAGGGGTTTTAATGTGGTCAAAGAGGTGAATACTAGATTGGAAATCACCCATCTGCAATATGCAGATGACACTTTGATTTTTTGTGATGCAGAAGACAGCCAACTAAAAATTTTGAGGATAGTTCTCATACTGTTTGAGTCAGTATCAGGGCTGCACATTAATTGGAGAAAGAGTCACATCTTTCCAATGACGTGCCCAGAATACAAAACCTGGTGGATATTGTGGGTGGAGAAATAGGACAGTTACCAGCAACATACTTGGGTATGCCTTTGGGTGCCAATAGCAAATCCAAAGAGATATGGAATGGAGTAGTGGAAAGATGTGAGAAAAGATTGTCTAAGTGGAAGTCTCAATATTTATCAAGAGGTGGTAGATTAGTGCTGATTAACTCAGTCCTGGATGCATTACCAACTTACTTAATGTCAGTTTTTCCCCTTCCAGCAAAGGTGGAAGAAAGAATTGATGCTCTGAGAAGGAATTTTTTGTGGCACGGTGAGAAGGAATATAAAGGTTTCCACCTAGTCGAATGGAAGACACTACTACTATCCAAGAAGCAGGGAGGACTGGCAATCAAAAATCTTAGGAAGCAGAACAAAAGTCTTCTCATGAAGTGGTTGTGGAGATTTCCTTTAGAAGAACAATCTTTGTGGGGTAGGGTGATCCAGGCCAAATATGGGAAGGAAGGACCCTGGAAGACCAAGGAAGTGACATCCACATATGGAACCAGTTTGTGGAGATCAATTAGAAACTTATGGCATGGTTTCTATGCAAAAACTGGATGTAATGTGAACAATGGGAGGAAGATCAGGTTTTGGGAAGATGACTGGTTAGGGAATGGAAGCCTCAAATG